GTTTTAGTTTCCTGGCCTCCATACACATTCATTCGCAGATAAACACACACACATAAAATTTAGAAGCTAAGAACTCCATGAGAAAGAATGTGGTGTTTGTCTTTCTGAGCCTGCATTACCTCACTTAACATATTTTCCAGTTTCATTCACTTTCCTGCAAACATCATTTTTCTTTTTCTCAAAAAGTATTTAATTTTTTAAATATTTTATTTTTAGTTTATGTGTATGTGTATATTGCCTGCATGTAGGTAAGTGCACCTGTGTGGGTGTGGTGCAATGCCTGCGGAGGACAGAAGAGGCTGTCAGATCCCCTGGAACTGGAGTTACAGACAGTTGTTAGCTGTCATGTGGGTGCTGGGATTCGAACCCGGGTCTTCTGCAAGAACCGCCAGTGTCACTGCTGAGCCATGTCTCCAGCCCCCACAAAAGTATTTTATTTTTATTTATTCTTAAAGCGTGTGTGTGTGTGTGTGTGTGTGTGTGTGTGTGTGTGTGTACGTGCACGTACATCTGAGTGCAATGCTTCTTACAGGCCAGAACTGGGCACCAGAGCTCCTGGAGCTGGAGTTATACAAGGTTATGAGTGGCCTGATGTAGGTACTGGAAAGAACTGGGTCTCTCTGCAAGAGATCACTGAACTGTCTCATCAGCTGCCTAATTTTTCTTTGTAGCTCAATAAAATGCCATTGTGTATGTGTACCACAATTTGATTAACCATTTATTAGTTGATGGATATCTATCTAGGCTGATTCCATTTTCTTGCTATTGTGAATAGAACAGCAATAAAAATGGATGTACAGGTATACCTGTGGTAAGATAGAGAGTTCTTTGAATATGTGCCCAAGAATGACAAAGCTGGACCACGTGGTAGCTCTATTTTTAGTTTACTGAGAAACCTCCACACTGACTTCCATAGTGGCTGCACCAGCTTACTTTCCCACCAACATCCCTCACCAGCATTTGTTATCATTTACTTTTTGATGAGAGTTATTGAAGGGTTTTGTAAATCAAGAGATTTAACCAGGGTCTGGCTGCTTAGAAGGTTGAGGTTGGAGGATCACAAGTTCAAGGCCTGTCTGGAAAACTTGGTGAAACTTTCTGTCTCAAAATAAAAATCACAAAAAAGACTGGGAATATTTAGCTCTAGTCTTAATTATGCATCTATTGTCATGAAAACATAAGCAGATGATTCCCAATGTCAGCAATTCCTCCTTCACAGTTTAAGTTTAAAGTGAAATGTGTGTACTTTGCCCAAGAGCTATTTATTCTCCTTTCCTTTCTTCTCCTTGCCTTTCCTACTGCTTTCTTTTCCCTAATCATGACTTTTATGCAATTTCATGGGAATATCCATGTCCCTTTTGGTAATGTGGAAACACAATAAACATTTATAAAATTTGAAATGTATAAAAAATAGAAATCATGGTATTCTGCTTCTGTTTTCTAAAAGAGCACGGCTCTTTTCCTTTCCTGCATTCTGGTTCTCCTATCCTGAATATAAAGATGGTATATGGGCATTATTTTCCAAGTCCCTCTGCTGTCAACAGATATTCCACATGTCTTTGGAATGTGGAACGTTTATTCCAAACATCCATATGATGTTTTCCTGCATATATTTGAAAATCCTAAGAAACCTGGGTCTTTCCTATTGATTAGACTTTTAGTTAAAGTCCAGCTGACCAAGAAAGCCACATCTTTTAGCCTGAGCTGCTATTTAAATTCCATGTCAGGCCAGACAAACTTTGGTTAAAATTAAATTTTGTTACTCCATCATGTGGATGTGGAACTTGCTATTTTTAGTACATGCTCTACACAGCCCAGTTATTCATGACTGAGAGTTTGCCATGAAACTTCAGAGCTTTATTTAAAAACAAACAGCTCCCCAGAGGCAACATGAAGACCTCTTTCTCGAGGTGTTCATAAAGTTAGGAAGAGGGGGAAGGATAGGGTGTCGGGGGCAAGTTGCTTTTCCAAGTGGGAAATTGGGAGTTCCTCTGGTCAGTTTAAAGCTGCAGAAGCAAGTGAGGAAATCTGGAAATGTACATCTTTATTACAAGGCTTAAGCATGCCAGGGTCTTTTAAAAATTGTCCTTTTTCTTCACCTTCTTATCTCCTCCTCGGGTTTCATATAGCATGCATGCATAGGAGGTGAAAGAAGAATGAACAGCACTATTTAATTCGACTGGAGGAGAAATCTCTACATAAATGTTATAAATAACATCTCTGATGGTGGAAAAGCCAAGGTAGCACACATTGAGATGTGTGACTGCCCTCACCTAAATGCTGCCCTCCTGGGCTTTGAGGGATGATATTTGTTCATTCACATACATTAATTACATGCCTGTAATCTCAGCATTCAAAAGGCTAAGGCAGGAGGATTCTGAGTTCCGGGCCAGCCTATGCTGCATAGTGAGTTGCAGGCCAGCTTGGCTACACGGTGATTTCAAGATCAGTCAGAGCATCTTAGTGAGAAACTGTCTCAAAAAATCAAGAAAAACAAGTGTCCTGAGATTGGCCAGGAAGGATGAAATACAGCGTCTGTGAAGGTGATGGAGACATAGCACCTGACCTTCAGCCTATTAGGAAGGACCCAGGGGGCACAGAAGTCTCATAAGAGACTGATTAGGAAATAGGCGCCTCATTTTTCTTCTGTTTTTGCAACTCAATAAGAGAGATATGTATACCATCTTATCATAGCTGTATAGGAGCCTATGAATGATATTTACCACTCAGCCTCATTCTCTAAGAAATTGGGTCAGTGAAGGTCAATGATTCATAGAATTTTGATCTGGCTGTCAGGAAAGAAGAACAGCCAATGGAGAACAACAGACAGACCATTATTGACTCAGTCATTCAAAACCACCGAGGCCCATGGCCAAACAATCAGAATAATTTCAGCTAACTACCTGTTGTCTCTTTATGGTGTTCTAAATATCACAGGAAAAGCAGAACCAAGGGAGGAAGGGAGGAGCATTTTGTGGAAATTAAGAAAGAAAGAAAGTTTAAAAAAAAAAAAAAAAGCGTGCCTTGATGCTGACTGAGTCTTCCTCTTTTTTTCTTTGTGCTAAGGACCAAACCCAGAGTCAGAGTCTGATGCATGCTAGGCAACTTACAGTATGAAATTTGCATTAACAGTGATACAGCAAGTTTAGCTCATTAATGTCATATGGACGCTTCTGTAAGGGTGAGATTTTGTTGTTGTTTTTTGTTTGGGGGGGTTCTTTTTGAGACAGGGTCTCCCTGTAGCCTCAGCTGTCCTGGAACTCGCTATGTAGACCAGGCTGGCCTTGAACTCACTGAGATTGGCCTGGCTTTACCTCCCAAATGCTGGGATTAAAGGTTTGCGCCACCACACCCAGCCAGATGACGGCTTTAAGGAAGGAAAGGTAGCACCTGCTTGGCAAGACTGGTGGGGCCTGACTTGGAGAAGCTGTCAGAACAAGAAACAAGGCCAGGGTGACAGTGGCCAGATCTGTGCTCTGTCAACACCACCATGGCAGCAATAGGAGACTAAATTGTGGAAGAAAAAAAGTTTCTAAGAACAGCAGAAGTTGATATAGCTAATCTCTATGAAGCACACTGTATGTCATTGCCTATACTAAGTGTTGGTCATCCAGTATCATCTCATATAATCCTTAAAACAGCCCACGAGGCAGGAATTATTACTGTTTTATTTCCCATGGCCAAGTACCGCAGAGCGGAGAAATCCTTCCAAATCTTACAAGACAATGTGTGCTTTTTTCATTATGATAACCCAGGTAAGAAAATTAAAAGGGCCAGATACAATTCACAGACTGGGATAGAATTGAAAGGCCAGTACACATACTTTGTTAGGCCAAAAGGCCTCCTTAGTGTGTGAGTCACAGAAATACTAAAACCACCTCTCCATCCTATCTAAACAATGACTTTAACCTGCACCCACCTTGTCCTGAAAGCCTAGTTCCATTGTGGGAGCCATGTCCTCTGGTTGATCCCTGTCCACCCAGATCCTGGCCGTTCTGTTTGGCTAATAGTGGGCACTCAAATTCTATTAGCTTAATGAGATAATTTCCTTCTTTCCGATCTTCATTGAAACTGGGGGTGGGGTGGCTGGGTGTGGGTGTAATTTATTGTCTCCCCTCCCCCACACCCACACTTGTTCCCTGTCTTTATGTTAGAGCAGGTTGGCTCTCATTAACTCATTACACGTTAAGTTGAATGAATGAGTTGTTACCTAGGAAAACTACCTAGGGCAAAGGTAGGGATACTTGAGCGGTTAATGGGAGTGTCTATGAGCAGCGGGATGGACACCCCTTTTTGATTCGCCTAATCGTATTATTCTTGGCAATCTGCCCCCAAAGGGCAGACGATACCTTTCATAGTGCTTCGCCTTCTAAAGGTATTGGAGCTCGTAGGATGGAGATTGGAAATACGCCCATAGAGATGTTCTCGCCCGGGACACCGCCCTAAGAGCAGAGTAGGAGGGCTCCTTTCTCCTTGAATGCGCTTGGCAAGCCCTGCCCCCAAAGGGGTGGTGGAGGTGGAGAAAAGAAAAACGTCCACACCACGCGCGTCAGCCCGAGTAAAGATTGGCAAGTGATCCCGGAGCGCAGACCTCTGTCATTTATTTATTTTTCTCTCCACCGGGTGCGCTGTCCCTTTAAATGGGAACGCTGGTGCTGGCTCCGTAACACTGGAACCCGGCAGCTTGTTGATTTCGGAGCTGGTGAATTTCACATTGTTTCCACTTCACTTTCCTTGCCCCGGGGAAGGCTGGGGCTGGCTCTACGACCGCTGCTGCCGCTGCGGGCGAAGGCTAGCGGAGGATAGGGACGCTCGGCATCCGGCGGCCGCAGGGCCGGAGTAGAGGGTGCCGGGGCTACACGCACCTTCGCCGCAGTCGGGCTCCTCCCGAAGCCCGGCAGCCGGAGCGCGCGGCACCCAGCCGGCCCGCCCAGACGCTCGCCCGCCCACCGGCCGGGCCTAGCGGGGCGGAGGAGGCCGGGGGCGGGGAGGGGGGCGGGGGTGGGTGCCGCGGCCACCGCGGAGCTGCTGCTCGGCGCGTTTTGCATGAAGATGGCGGCTCCCACCGCCAGTAAGGCAGCCTCTCTGGGCTGCAACAACAAGCCTGCTTTCCCGGAGCTGGATTTCAGGTCCGGAGCTCGGGTGGAGGAATTGAACAAACTCATCCAAGAATTCACCAGGCATGACCAACGGGAATACGACGACCAGAGAGCGCTGGAGATCCACACGGCCAAGGATTTCATCTTTTCCATGCTGGGTAAGGAGGGGGAGGTGTGTGTGAGGGTGCTTGTGCGAGTGTGCACGGTGCGCGCGTGTGATGGGAAGCGGGTGGGAGCCCCGGCGCTTGCCTCTCGGTTTCCCGACTGCCTGGGGTGTCACCCCTGGGCTCCGCGGTCAGCCGAGCTACCTCCCGTCTCTCCTGCCCGCACTTGGTGCTGGGTGCCCCATTCCTTCCCGGATTGCTGGTTCTTTTGTTGGTTTCCCGGCAGCGGGGCGGGCAGGCAGGTGAAGCGGCGGCTGGGGACTCCTGCAGGCTGGGGGTGGGGGGGCCCTGCCCGCCCGGGCCAGGTGAAAAGGTGCGCCCCGGGAGTCCCCGCCCGCAGCTTTCCCCCGGCGGGTCCCCTCCGGAGCAGCGGGCGCCCAGGCAGCGTGGATGCCCGGCCGGCGCCCCAGCGACTAGTTGCTTCTCCCGAGGCGCGGCGCAGCGTGGCGCTGTCACGCCGAGCCCCGGGTGGCCAAACTTGTTGGGTGTCCCACCGTAACCCGCCGAAGTAGTCTGGGTGCCGGGAGTTCCTGCAACTTTGATTTGCAAATCGACTTCCCTTTGAAGGGATCTGAAGCATTTCCGGTGCTTCTCCCGGGTTGCAGAGCTCGGAATTCCTAATTCTTTGCTCGAAAATGACCCGGCGTTGCGCCCTGGTCTAGGAGGAGCGCTGTCCCCCTCTTTGTGTGTTGTCTTCGCGCTGGCCAGGAGTTTCCCACCTTCCAGCCCCTCTCCGCGCCCCGAAAGGTTACTTGGATACCTGGTAAAGGACAGTCATGGGCTGGGGGACCAATCCCACCCCGGGCGTCCTGGGCTGGGATTATTGCTACTGAGTTGTAGACCGAGCACCCGCTGTCCGGAGCCCCGGTGGCGGTTCCCACCAGTGGAACCGTGGCCGTCACGTAGTACGAGGTGGCCCGGCAGTTTACCATCAGCAGAATCAGGACTGGAGTAGAGGTGCTTCACCGCAAGTCCCTGTGGGTGCTCTACAAACATTTCCACCGTCAGTTTTTCAGATAGTGGAAAATGTGATTAGCCAAGGCCTTTTGACCACAGAGGACACAGAGCCTTTGCTTCCTCCTGCTATCTACCGTGATTGCAGGCCGCCCACTGCCCCTCTCCCGGATATCTTATTTCCTCCAGGTTTTCTTCATCCCTTTAGTCCTAGTGGGGATAATACAGATTGGACGCGGTGCGGTGCTGTTAAGGATTAGGTGAGTTGAATGGAACATGTTAAAACGTGGAACTATTTACCTTTGACTCCACCTCCCCCAAGTGTTCCAGGTTTTCCAGGTGGTGTATGCACTTGAGAGGGTCTTCAGTGAAGATATTCAACTGTTCAACTGTAGGTGAATTATTAACTCACAGCCTGGTGGGACTGAGCTTTCGGAAAGAAGATTAAAGCCCTTAACGAAACCTCTACTTCTGAAAACCAAACCCAGTGACTGTCAGGAGGGTGGGGACACCTGCAGAAAGCACACAGCAATTATTTAAGTTGCTTAATCATGGCCTTTCTCTTTGGCATGACCAACCAGCACCTGCCATTATGTCTTTTCAGCCCCCGTTTTTACTTTTCTTACCTCTTGTCCTAGGACCTTCATTATAAAGAGATGGTGAGATAGTCATTAGATCAGAAGATGAGAGATGCTGGGGAGGGGATGTTTAAATGCCTGGCTCAGTAGGAACTCTGTCCCTTCATGTGATGCACTGAATTAGCAAGATCTTTGTCCCTGCACAAAGAATAAATTATTCTAGGGTGCTTAATTTATGCTTGTGTTTAATGTCACCAGTGGCATTGTGTTGACAGGTAAACTAGATTGCTTCTTTTCCTTTTCAGTCAGTTGACCTTGGTAGAGATGTCTTTCTTCCCTGTGGGAATTTGGTAATTCTACCTGCTGGAGAGAAAATTCAGGAGTGTCATTTAAGCCCTTTGCCCCTCTGGACACTGCCAGGCAGATGGTGAAATGAGCTTGCCCTGTGTGTGGTGCTGCATTCATTTTTGATTCCCTTGCTTTCCTTTAATGAGGCACTGACTGTTCAAGACAAGTGAAGGTTTGGTGACAGCAAGGGTCCCTGTGTGGATTTACTTTTTCTAAAGCAGATTTTCGCTTGACTTAAGAAACAAAATCTCTTTTTGTACACTTTGTTTCTCTTGCTGCTGTGTTGAATCTTTCATGAATATGCGAATGAGGTATCTTAATGACCCCCAGCTTGTTAAGGTGTCACTTGGGTGGCATCAGGCCCACATGCATTTCTGGGTGGTGTTGGGGGTTAGTTCTCTTGGCAGTGTTCTGCCTCTGTCTGAACTGCACCTGAGGATTGTCAGCAGCTTAAAAACATTATCCTCTCACTCAGGATGAAATGGCCAAGGAGTCTGTCCAAGCCTCTTTAATAGCATTGTGGATAATGCCGCCTCTGCTTGCAAGTAGTTGGGGGCCAGGAATGGTGACCAGGCAGGCCACTATCTGTGTTGCAAGGTTGTTAGCTTGGACTGAGGCCCCTTTAGCTTCCCAGACCCTTTCTTTTTGTCTAGTGTGTGGTGAATTTTCTACAGATAAAGGGGTGGTAGACAGCTGTAATCAGTGACCTGTCAACACTGGGACACCCACTGTTTCATCAAAGCAGGGTTCTGCATGGGCTGTGGAATTGATCCCAGCCCTCTGGGGGGTCATGGTAGTCTCTGGAATCTGGCTGCATGGTAGGTGTTTGTACAGAGATTGTGATTTCTTTGGAGGCAGGTGGTAGCTGGAATCATCCAGAATCACTCCTTTTACACCTTGTTCTTTTAGGAGAATGATTGCTGTTATTATCTAGTTAATATTTGAGAGCCCAGATTGTGTGAGAGGATGGCAGTGCATAATAAACACAATTTATCAAAATTCAAGGAAATTGCCAGAGTTCATTAATGTTTTAATAATATTTGGTATTTGCATAATGTCTCTGCTGGCTTTTTGTTATCTTCATTCCCTGGTGAGGTTAGATGGGGACTGGTGATGCTTCAGTGGAACATGTGGAAGACAGAGGATGCAGAAGATGAAGACAGCAGGGAGACAGAGAGTCACTGACAAACAAGGGCTTGGTGTCATGGCTTGATCACGAGAGTACCTGAGATCACCTTCTCAGACCAGGTGCTCCACACAGCCTTTGGAGTAAGGGTGGCTTTCCTTGTTCAGAGAGGAGGATGCTGAAAATTAGTGGGGAGAAGAAACAAAGTCAAGTGACTAATAAATTACAGTGACTCTGAAGACTTCTTTCTCGCTAACTGGAGTTCATTAACATAGAAACATGAGATCTAGAGAAGGGGCTTTGTTTTGAAAAGTCACCTGAGGATTTTGCTTCTGATTTCTGTTGGGAGCATTAGCATAATGCAAGCAGCCTCTGAGTTCCAAGTATTTTATTCCATAGTAAGTTCACCTCTTTGAATTCTTGATGTCTCAATGACCACTGTGATGCAGTCCGTAGTTCAGCCCTAATATGCCTCTTGCTGGATGTGTGGGCTTGGTTCTTTAACCTGTTACACATGGATAAAAGTAATACATCGTTTCAGCATTATATCTGAATGTAAAATTACTTTGCTAACTAAGAAAGAATGCATACATGATTTTATTATTTAGTTAAGAAATGTGCTTGATTTGAAAACCTAGTGAACTTCAGCTGGAATTACTTCTGCAGCTTGACATCAGAGAGAACTATGGAGTACAGTTCACAGCTGCCTCAGAGGACAAGGGCTATGGCTGGAGGGAGCATGATTAATTCCAACACAGGTTGCATTTGTTAAGCTCACTCCTAGTCAGTGCTGACTATGGTGTAGGTCTTTTGCATAAATCCATCACCCCTGTAATCTCCTTCTGACAACTTTAAGGGTATCATCCTGCCTATTTTGAGGATGATGTTGGTATCCTTCTAAAGATGAAGCACTGAAGTACAAAGAAGTCAAATACACCAAGATCATATAGAACACGAATTTAGACCCAGGTGCTGTTTTTCTGTTTATTAGACCCAGGTATTTTTATTGCAAAAACTTTCATGCCTCTCAGTTAGTAGCCATCAGTTTCAATTGCTCTTGGCTCAGAAAACTAAAAGTCCTCACATGCTGGACAATACTCTGCTTCGTAGCCTGCTTGGTCTGTAGGAACAAGGGTAAGTTCTCATTGTTCCTGTCTGTCCCATTTGATCCTCTTGCTTTTATGCAGTCAGTAAGTACTTGATGAATACCAATATAATACTTTTTGCCTCAGCAGGAGTCTAAGGATAAAGTAATGGGCAAAACTATTTTTGTTTTGTCTTGTTTTTTTTTTTTGAGATAGGGATTCACTAGCGCTGGCTGGCCTGGAAGTTGCTATGTAGACCAGGCTGGCCTCAAAATCACAGCAATTCACCTGCCTCTGTCTCCTGAGTACTGGGATCAAGAGCATGGGCCAGCACACCCAGCCTTGAGCAAAATGTTTGACAAATTCACATGGGTCTTTATGGACTCTCTAAGAGAACAGTTTGCTGGCTGTCCCCTTGTAGCCCAATGAATACCATTTGGCCCCTTCAGAGTTCTAAACTGTGTGGTACTTCAGAGTGCTCTTGGACCTGTCATGTTTCTAGGTAATCTTTGCATCTCTAGAGTTGGCCGTTTGGAAACCTTGCCTTAATAACCATATAATCAGAAGAAGCATTTCACTACAACAGCATTGACATATTCAATAACAATTTAGAGCTAAGATGCATCTCTTTCAAAATTGGCTATAAATTTTTAGGTTCACAGTTGAATTAAAACTCTAAACCCTATAACACATAAAATTAAATGAGATTTTAAACTTTAAAAAAGATCTCCATTTCATTATTAAAATACAGCTTCATACAGAAAAATTTATTTTTAATACAATTGACACTACGATGCGCATGTGTTTCTAATCTCTATATATCTGATTATTACTAGTCACAGTCGGGAAACCTTGACTTTCTAATATTTGAATGTCCCTTTTGTCTTACTGAGTTTACCCAGT